TGGGGAAATGCACTGTGCTTGTTCTCTCATTAAATATCTTTCCATCAGACTATTCTTTCAAAGTCTTTGCAAATGAGATGTATCTTAAAGACAACACAATTCCAAACATTCTTTGCCTGTAGGTGCTATCAAAGTCAGATTTATGTGTGTATACATATTGATCTACAGTTGAAAATTACATATCTTCTAAGGTTAACCAACTCAACTAGATAAGCAAAGGATAGATCATTATTCATACCTTAGAGGAGAAAGTGTTTTATGACATATATACACAGACATAAAATCTATAAGTAATCAATAAATCCAAATTGATCATTGAGGAGGAGGAGACAGACATGTTTTTTCAAAATCTGAGAAATAATTTCTTTTATGTATTGTCAATTGGAATTTAATTAAAACATTCTACTGATACATTATACATTTTATTAATAAATCTTCTGTTCACATTAACATTTTTTTGAATGCTCCAAGAAACATCCATGCAAAAAATGTCTGGTGTCCAGTGAAAATTTCTAAACAAGAAAAAAACACACTTTTCATATTTTTCAAGCACCATCTCAAAGACATCACTGCCAAAAATACAGAGTTGCTAAAATCAAGCAATTTACTTTTTATGTTTAAAATAAATCTATTTTCCCCCACAGACTTTCAAAACATTAGAAGAAGAAAACATACATGGAAAACAGGCTTCTTCAAAAAACAAAGCGATTTTATATTCATTGTCAAGAGGACAAATCAGTGGTGGATGAGAAACAGATGAGACAAGAGATGGAAATGTAATACTGCCCCTATTTTATTATAATTAGATATTTATAGAGCACAGATGAGTTTATTTTCATAATTAGTAGCTGGCATTAGTAAATGAATTTGCATACACAGTTGGCTATCAAGGCAGTAACTTATTTTCAGGGCTCTCAAGTCCCAGCAGGGACAAGACGGGGTTCAACTCCTCAAATCAGCTTTCTTAATGTTATTACCAGTAAAATGCAATCTACATGAAATCATGTTCAAATTCATGTAGCTTGATTATCCCTTTCCAGTTTGGCCAGTGTTGATTAGCTTAGCATTAGAAGGCCAGTGATCAAATCTACATGGGAAAAACACACATAAACAAATCAAAAGGGCCTTCTAAACTCTAAAGGACTAGAATAGATCTTAGGGTCAACACTATCTAATCCAGTGAATACAAAACTCTGTAGAGCAAAGGGAAAAAGAAACGAAATCCCCCTGCTGCCCCGGCTGCCCTAAAGGTTTAAAAATCAGTTCTTAATCATTGTTGAAGATGTCAGATACCTCTCTCCCAGGTCATGCTCTGCATTCTCCATACCCTCCCCACACTTTCCCACACCACTCTACAAAAGCAACTTTACCCAACACAGACCAGCCTCTCTGAAGGTAGTGCCAAGGGTAGGAAGGATTCCTGGTAACTGATCACAGCAATGGTCAAACAGAAAATTAATCAAACTACCTCCCACTACTGACATCTAGTAAGAAATTTTGAAGGCATCTTTTACTCCTCCCTTATTCTCAAACCAAAGGTAAAAAACTTACGGCTCATGCACCAAATCATCTGGCACGCAGGTACACACCTGTGTGTGTGTTCATACGTACGTATAGAGGAGAAGATACTTTGAGATGACATTTTTATCACGTCCACATCTGGCTTTTCTTGAGCATCTGGTGACTGTGCCTGCATCCTTGCGTGGCAGCGATCAGCTGGAGCAGAGTGGAGGCTGCTGCCTTTGATGGCACTTGCGCTCTTCAGTTTGTCATGATTCCCACCATGACCTATTGCTTCTCTTACACTAGGACACTATTTATCCCCAGGTCTACTTCATAATACTGGTCAGGACCCTGCTGGCTTTTGGGTCTGTGACCCCTGCCCTGAGTTCAGTTTCAAGGGAAGGTATTTGGTAACCTCATCCAGAATGGGTAATCCCTAAATGGACTAGAAGAAGGGGAAGAAGGCCAAAATATACTCTCAACACTTAAATGGGGGCTTTCAGAACAGCTGACCAAGGCTAGTTGCTGAAGTCCTCTGTGTGAGCCACTTCTAGGTAAGTTCGCGCTTGTTTTTGGCCATGTCCTGCCTAACAGCCTCCTGAACAGAGTGGTTTTTGTTATAGCCTACCCACCCTGCTCAGTTCTGTAGATTTAACTTGACAATTCTTTCCATTATGGATTTACTACTTCATCAATCAGCTTTAAAAGAATGACAACATCTGAGGTATATTCCTTCTTTTCTCTGACAAATGTCTAAGAATAAATTCAAGACCTCTCCCATGTTTATTCTGGTGTAATCTATAAAATTTTCCCTCTGACACTTGCACACACAGGGCCAGAGAAGGCCTTAGTGAGGAGGGAACTGGAGCCAGAACACGTGGTCTCACTTCATGACCCATTGGGGCTCCTTTGCTCAGTGATTTGGGGTCATGAGGGTTGTGATAAGGAACACATGTTAGTAAGTAGAGTGATTTCATTACTAATATCAGCATTGAAAATCTAATCCTGTCCATCTCCCCTCCCCCATATCTAAAATCAGTTGTTTAGTTCAGTTAAACCATTACTTAATTTTGTAAGCATTCATTAAGTACAACTCTGGCCCTAGTACTGAGTTTGTGTAGAATGAGTGACAGAGACAGCAAAGACACAGGTCTTGGTCTTTTGTGGGACAGGTTGTGGGGAGTGGATTGAAACACATGAGTAAATGTGACTCAAGGCAGTTTGGCATAGTTACCTTATAACACAGCACAGTCTGGCAGACCTAGGAGCCTTGGATCTTCAAGGATAAGAGGGAGAAGCATGTTCAAGGACATTCAAGAAAGAGAGTAGTAAAGCTTGAGCAAAAGTCCGAAGGCGGGAGAACACAGTGTGGATACAAGCAGAGTGACTTGGGGACTTTGGGAGATGGAGGAGCTGGCAGGGGTGATGGTGGGCAGAGGGGGTATGCCCACTGAAAATAAAGCAGGGAAGGCACCTTGACAATTATACAACAAGAATCTACCTAAAATTTTGGAACAGATGAGCTACATGACCCGATTTAATTTTAATTTTGCTTTATTTTCACTTTCAGGAAGATAAACGACAGCAGAATAAGAGGATTAGAGATTCTGAGTCCTTTCTGCATGGAACACACTATGCCAGACACATCTGGATGTTAACAAATGAATACGTTTGTCTTCAACATATGTGCAATCTAGTAGAGGGGAGCGGTCCAATTCCCAATTAACTTCCATATAAATTGTTAGAGAGGTACATGGAGGAAGAGCCCAACTCTGAATGGAGCATTCAAGGAAAATGTCATATAAGAAATGAAATACATGTATTTTTCAACAGGCAGAAAAAAGGGGATGAGGGGCTGTTAGAAGGTAGAGAAACAGAATAAGCAAAGGTAAGAGATGAGGAAATTCTAGAGAGGTTATTTGGTATTCCACTTGGCTGGAGCAGCAATTTTGTAGCTAAACTTTACAGTGGAGCAGGATAAAGGTAAATAGGACCATATAAGGGAAGGCTTTGAAAGTGGGATAGCTAATCCTGCACTCCATTTGGTGGGTGGCAGAGTTTAAGCAATTCTCAACCACTGAATAGACTGGAAGAGAATAGAGGCAGAAAGACTAATTAGGAGAGGTCAATAATTGAGTAAGTGCTAACTGGAAACTGGTCCAGGGAGCTGACAGTAGAGATGCAAGAGACTTTCCGGAGGAGAGTCTCAACAAGCTCTCTCTCTACCAATTGCCTGGGAGTAGGAAGGTTCAGGAAGGAGAATGATAGAAAGTAATTCCTGGGTTTCACACCCGGTGATAAGGCGAGTGGGAACTGCATTAACAAACGGGGAGACATCATAAAGGGAAGCTGCTTTGTGGGCAGATGATATGAAGGTTGACTTTGAGCCTACTGAAGTGCCTCCCTTAGTGGGGCATTTACATAGACGTATGTTACAGAGCATGCAAGGTGGTAGGCTGGAACTTATGACAGGTCAGTGCAGAGAGGTAGCTAGAAGGCTTAAACATGGAGGGCACCCTTGTATCCGGGAGAGGCAGTGTAGAGTAGGGGTTAGGGGCACAGATTCTGGGTTCGATTCTCACTTAGTAGTCATCAACTTATGTTATCTGACTCTGAGCCTTATTCTTATCCATGAACAAGAATAATGCCACCACCTACCTCACAGACAAGTCATGAGCGTTAAGTGTGACAAGTCCATTAACCATATAGCACAATGGCTGGTGCATGACGAGTACTCCGTAAGTGTTAACAGCTTCTAGTAGTGGTAGTAGCAGTGACTCAGAGAAAGAAGATACTCACGTGCAAAATCTAAAAAACACTTAAAACATCTATTTTATGGGATGTTGTAAGGGATTAGGGAAAGACAAGGAGACAGAGACTGACTCTAATGCATTGCCATTGAGAGAAGAGGCAACAGTGCCACATGCATCAGAAAAGTTGAGTCCTAGGCAGATTGGTGGCTGTGCCTCTGAGGTCACCAGTGCCTTCCACTGAGTAGCGTCAGTGGTGAGGTGGAGATACAGCCAGATGTAGCCCTGTAATCACTTATTCCTCTTCCTCTCCCCGCTTTTCCACCTACCTCCTTTCAAAAGATACCAACTTAGCAATGGGGTAAGGGTTCCCCATGACAGATTTCTGAGAATGAAGCCACCTGGGATTTGCATAAAAGGAACAGGCAATCAACCAACCCCAAAGTGGAAAGGACTGAACTGCTTCCAAGGCAACCATACATAACTTTTCAAAGACCCAGAAAAGCATAAAACTCAAATAAGAGATAGCCAGCTCACAGACGCGTCATTGAATCCATGCTTTCAATAACTTGTCGGCCCCTTCTTTCTTCAACATCCTCATGGCATAAAACACATTTCCTACTTCTGTTACTTGCCAGTCTTTGAAGGAAGAGACAGCACACATACTCATTGAGATAGGGGCTGCAGAGTGAAGGAGGAAGCAGGGAAGACTAGATGCAGACACATATTTATAATTTATCAGTTAACCTCTCCCTTCACTCCTGAACAACTAATCCAATTTGAGCTAGTGAGCCAGGTTCTCTAGGCTTGGGTCTCTGAGAGCTTTGATTAGAAATGGATGCGTTACCCAAAGGTGTGACGCGATGAAAGGCATGTCAGAGTGTTGGCACAAGCTCGCGCACTCAGCCTCTCTCCTTTTCTCTGCCCACCTGGCAAAAGGCTGGCTTTGTAAGTAAAAATCCTACATTACCTCTTTCTCCTCTTCCTCCTGACTGTATAACACATTTTCATTCCTGTGTTCTTTTACACCCTCCCAGTCTCACCCTTCTGAACCCATTACCCCATCAGAAAATTCCAAATCCCACATATACAGGAAATACAACACAGGAAAAAAAGATAAATAAATAAATATCCCCCCTCGCAATTCCACATTAAATAAAATTTCAGGCAATTCACCAATACTCTCCCTTTCTCATCTACCATCTTTCCCCCACCAATGTTATCCCCAAATTCAGTTATTTCAAGTAATAGCAATAATGATGCATAATTTCATACTTCCCCTGTTCCTTCAATATATTTACTAGGAGGGGATCTTAGAACACCCTGCATGGAAGTAACATGTATCTTCCCCACACTGTGTAACCACTTTCAGAGTCCCCCATTCCTGCTAGAAAGAGTACAAGATCATGCAGAAGGCCCACCCTCAGTTTAGAGGGAGGCAGGCCAATACAGAATCATCCCCAAACACTGAACGTGAAGTGCACTGAAGGGAAATGATAGCACTGGCTTTTTATTTTTATTCTTATTTTTCTGTTGTTGTTAAAACCATTAATTTATAATCTGGACTGTATTCAGAATCGACAATCCTAATTTATAATCTGGACTGCATTCAGAATCGACAATCCTCTTGGATGCATGAATATTTCAAGACGCAGATTGATAGTTATAATGATAAAAGTAAAGTGAGCTCTACCTTTACTTCTACCTACAGAAATGAAGGTCCAAGTAAGTAGAGGAAGCATGGTGTCCCACCATGGAGGCGGCGAGAGAGAGAGAGAGAGACAGAGAGAGAGAGCAAGGAGAGTTAAACATCAGCACACTGCAGACACACAAAGAGACGTAAAACACACAAAACAAAAACTCGCAACAGTAAAGGCAGTAGCATTGCAACATCCTGAGGAGGCAGCGCAAAACAAACATACAACGTGGAAGTTTAAACAAGCAGTAAACGCTGTGACCAGCAAGGCTGCTCCCTCAGCTTCATGTTCAAGCTCCATCCCATTCATTTCTTCTCAGTCCCATCCTCAGAAACATGACAAAGTCTGCATGCAAACAGCACTGCACAGCCTGAAATTGCACTGTACGTGAAACTGCATGCACTTAATATAAAAATTATTAGGGAATATCTCAGAGAAGATAGGTTCTCCTGTATTTTCCTAACATTAATATGAGTTATGAGGACCAAGAGTATAACATACATGTATAGGTGGTGTACACACAACATACGTAAATATTTCCACACATATTTATGGGCATCAAAAACAAATTAATAAGATTCAGTGGAAACCAGACAGAAACCTCCTTTTTTCATGTTGAAGGAATAAGGAAAAGGAAAGGAGTACTGGTGAGAAGAAGAGTATCAGTTTTTTAGGTAATCATCAAATGGGTGAGAACAGATAAGGGGATAGGAAATGAAAAAGAATGAAAGGAAGAGGAATGCAGTCAAAGGACCGCCTTAAAAACAGATTAAACTTCAAGTTGCAACTTAAAATATTAGTAGCACCAGTCACCCAGAAGAATTCTGCATCCTTTCTTGAAAACCTCTTGAAAGAGGAATTCACAACATCCATGTCTGTCATTATTTCTTTCTCTCTTTCTAGAAGGTACCAGACTTATTCCCCCAGAGCATGGTTGTATTTGAAGCTCTGTGTTGTGCATAAGGAATATAATATAGGCTGTCCAAATGTTTTTTATACCAGCGTTGGGATTTAACCTTCCAAGATATCCATGCTGCATCAGTGTGTCTGCAATAAGCTAAATCAAGATCAAGGAAGTCCCCATCAGCTTATCCCACCTGCCACACTCTGTCCTATGATGTGAAGCACTTAGTTCTCCAGGCTACTATAAAGCTTGGAGGACTCCTGAGGGGCACCTGGGAGCATAAGGCTAAAGAATATAGGAGGGGAAAAAATAATGTAGGGGGAGGTTATTGGGACTCTAAGAGTCTGCTTTTGCTGGTGTAACTTGTCACCAAAGTTGAGTCATCAAATTCCAGCAATTCATAGAGCTCGGTTCCTCAAAGAGATGTGCTTAACCCTCTCAAGCTACCTGGACACAGCTCAACATCAGGCACATCCCCTACTCATGTCCACCTCATAATCACTTGCTGTTGGCCCTTCCCTCCCTGGCTAAACTGCAAGAACAGAAACTTGATCTCAGCCTCTTCTGGAGCACCTTCTAATACTAGAGAACTCACCTGATCTCCTCTCCCAGTTCTATTTTTTGACATATGCTCTCTACCAAATCATCTCTTTATTGAAATTGCTGAAGTCTACACCACTGATCTTGGCTTAGGTCTGGAGGATGCATTTACATTGGAAAAGCAGGCTTCCTCCTTACCTTGCTTTGTCAGTTCAGGATGCCCTTGACTGCCCACTTCCACAGCTAACTGGATACCATAAACAAACTTCTTCCAGCCTTGAGCAGTTCCTTGATTTGATGAAACTGCCCTTTATGTCAAAAATGTCCGACGGACTCAATGTCAGGGAGCAGGGGAGAGGAAGTCCCACCCTCCTCATGAGATCAAGAAAAACAGGAAAATATGGAATTATCCCTCTTTCCCATTTTCTTTGGTCCTCTGAAAGAGGTACTGAGTCCCATGTATATTTCAACAAGACATAGTCAAGAAAAATTAGAGTTTTTGGTTATAGGGCAAGGCAGGTAGACCAATCTTGCAATCATCCCAAGGCTCAGAAGAAACACAATAGCAGCAATTGAACTGTGAAGGAAAAGACAATTTTAAGTAGGCTCAGCTCTCAACTCCTGATTTAGGCTGATAATGTGGAAAATTTTTATTTAGGAGAAAAAGGCTTCATTCACAGCCCACCCTGTGCTTAGCTGAGCTGAATTTCCTGCACAGTTCATTCCTTGCATATTTGAATATTTTAGGTTGCAGATGCTGAATTTACAGATCTTTATATGCAGTTTTCTTCAGGGTGTATAATGAGTTAGAATTCCGCCATGAGGACATTAACATGTTCTTTAGGTGGTTTTTGCTTTTATATAAAACTGAAAACAGTCAAACCCGCAACGGCTTCCTTTGACCATGGAGACCAGATCATTATGGGCAGTGGAATGGAGGGGAAGACAAAAAGCAAACCGTTCCTCAGAGGGAAATTCAGGGAGGAGCCCAGTTCCTCTCCCCTATCCTGGAGCCCCGGCATGGGGCCTAGGGAGGAGCAGGAGGAAGTTAACCGCTTGGTTGCTCTGAAATTAGCTTCATTCACCCCCATTATCGACACCGTCATGCCTGGTTTCATGCTTCCCTCTTGGATGCAGCCCAGCAGGGCCAGCGCCCAAAATGACAAATGGCGGTGGAGAATGGAGAAGCCAAGGGGACAATGGGGATGGGAAACCACGATGCATCAAGGAAGGTGCCCCCACCCCCACTGAGGAGGGTCCTGCAGCCAGCCTGGCCCAATGCGGGAAGGACAGGCAGCACAGCGAATGGCCTGCCAGTGACGATGAGGCTCTGTGACCAGCCAGAGGCAGGGAGGCAAGCGGTTCAGGCAGCTGCAGGACCACAAGCACAAAGCACCTACCTTGTTCACTCATCATGAGGTGGGAGAGGCCTAAGGAAGAGAAAAAGGGAGAAAGGGAAGAGGAGCGGGGAAGGGTAAGGAAAAAAAGAAAGAAGACAAAGTTAAAATCTCAAAAGCAATACAATCTTAATTCTTGAGTAGAAAAAGGAGTGGCAAGGGCCACGCGCTTGCTCACACGTCACAGACTCCACATGCACATATCCTGGGACATGCAACAAGCATGGACACCCCAGCCTTCCTGCTGCTGGGCAGAAAGCCTGGCTTTCTAGCTTACAGTCTTGTGTTTGCGGAACTGCTCTGGGCCTAATCTCGAGAACTTTCCTTTTACCACTGTTCTGTGCAAAAAGTAGGATTTGTGATAGATCTGTTAAAGATTAAGTCCCTTGGGAAGCAGACTTAAGACGCCAGGTAAAGTTGGTTTCTTTCTTTTAAATTACTTATAATAGTAATACACGGTCACTGTAGAAACTTGGGAAAAATCATCAGAATAAAAATAAAAATATCAGTTGCAATCCCACCTTCCAGAGACTACCATCCAATTTTTTTTTTTTTCCTCTAGATAGTCTTTTCTACAAAAATTGAATCCTATGGAATGTACCAAATAAGTTCCTGCTTGCAAGAGTTGCTCAGACAGCCTGGAACTGTTTCTATCACTGTCATGTTAGCCCAGGGACAATGACACCACTTCTTCCACTTCTCCCCTACCATCTTTCCTGGAAAGGCCTCCACACTTGATCAGGGAGGACTAGCCCAACACTGAATGGTTATAAAAGCATGTAAATTCCAAGTAAATAGATAAGAGAACCTCTGGTTATATTATTATGGAAGGCAAACAGGGATATTAAGAGCTTCTTGGTTCAGGAAAGCACAAGCCTTGATAAATCTATTAAAAAGAAAAGATTTTCAACCAGGAACCAACTGTACCAGTTATCTGCTCTTGTATTGGTTCTGTTATTACTGGAGATATTTGACAATATCCAAATCACTCCAGAGAACCTTTACTCTGAGCAAAATTCAGGGATATAGGGGATTAATAAAGGAAAAAAAAAAAACCCTCTAAAGTATGGAAATCTCTAAATGTTTTTGGAGATTACTAGAGATTTAGAAAAGTAATCAGAGACAAAATATAGGTCAAGCAACCGACTTTTAAAAGATCAATGATATATTAAATACACAGATACACATGCCACGAATGTCATGGGGTCTATTTTTTAAACAAATTTCATTAAACTATAATAATATTTTAAATAGACAATTTGAGTATTTGTTGCTCTAGGACCAGAATAAATATTCATGGAAGAATGAAATCATGACAAAACAAGTCATTCTCATGATTTCTTTTGTTCAAAAAATTCATTTTGTGTCTTTGTGGGGGAAGGGTATAGTAAGAAGACAGGAGAAAAGGCCCTAGACTTGATTAAGAGAAACTTCCATAGAAATAACTGTTCTTAAAATGTCTGTTGGAGTATGTGGCAAGGGAAACAGGGACAGAACAGGTGTATGAATTCAGTAGGTGACCCTCACAAGAGTGGCTCACACCTGTAATCCTAGCACTTTGGGAGACCAAGGCAAGAGAATAGCTTGAGTCCAGGAGTTCAGAACTAGCCTGGGCAACATAGCGAAACCCCGTCTCTACAAAATAAAAATTAAAAACTTAGCTGGGGTGGTGGTGTATGCCTGTAGTCCCAGGCACTTGGGGGCACTGAGGTGGGAGGATCGCTTGAGCCAAGAAGTTTGAGGCTACATTGAGCTGTGATCGCACCACTGCACTCCAGTCTAGGTGACAGAGCAAGACCTTGTCTCAAAAAAAAAAAAAGAGAGAGAGAGAAAAAAAAAAAAAACAAGGATAAGGAAGATCTGAAGAGCTACCTAAGAGTCAAATACAGCGTTAAAAAGGGCAAACATTTCACTCCCGAGATTAAACATGTTTGGCAGCTGCAGGAAGAAGTGAGTAGGAAAGAGATGGAAGAGTCTTTATTTGACCCATGTTAATATTTTTTAAATTTACCAAATAAAGAGTGAACAGGACATTTCGTAGTAAGAGGGGATTCAAGCCTCATAAAAACCCCTACAGTTGCACCTTATCTTGTGCTTCCCAAAAAGTGTATTTCACTGACGATCTATATCGGCCACCTGGAGATGATTATTTAAAAACAAAGATCCTGGGCTTCACCCAAGACCTAATGGATCAGAATTTTGGGAAGGAATGGGGGCCAGATCTGAATTTTAAACAAGTTGCCCAAGTGATTCCCATGCTTACTGGAACTTGAGAGCCACCCCTTTAGAGTGGCCTATAAATCACGTTTGGGTAAATTAAATTGTATAATAAATGCACTAAGGGGAATTGGATATTTAATAGAAACCTGCAGTGGACCCTTTCATAAAGGGAAGAATCCTTTTAAAATACAAATAACTCACCACCTGTGTTTTAAAAATTCAAATATGTACTTATCAGGTTTTATTAAACTACATATGTAGTTGCAGTATTGCCACTCAAATAAAATGTTCATATTTGACTTATAAAACCCTTAAATAGAAATACTAGGCCAGAAAACGAGATATGCGATCCTGATGCCAAAACTTTGTTTTTATAGCCAATAAAGCAAAATGGATATGAATCAGTGTGACAGGAAACAGGATTGGGGGGAGAAACCACGTAACCATAATATGATTTGTTTCATTTTGCTTTTTGAGAAAAGAATTTTCTTCCACTTTCAAGGGCTTTTACAAAATCAGTACATTTTCTTGCACAAACCTGTCCTCAGAGCTTGCAGAGTTAAAAACTAGAAACCAAGAATTCCATCATGCCCAGGTCTATTTTGAAATTCTGCTTCTCCGCCTTCTACCTCAAACACTCCTACTTGCTGCTAAAAATCTCAAGCCCCTCAACAGTGAATGGAAGTACCAACAACCAATTAACCAAACAATTCATGTATCTACCACATGCATAGACTAGTGGGGATACAAGTAAGTGTGGGATATCATCCCTGACCTCTAGAGTTCAGTCTAGCTGGGAAGGTATGCATGTGCTTATATTTACACACACACACATTTGACATATATACTGATACCTGACAGTGATGCACGGGGGATCACGGACTTCAGAGCCAGATTTGATTTCCATCTGTGCTACTTTCTAACTTGTGACACTAGGAAAGTTGTGAAACATTTCTTTGCCTTGACTTTCCTATCATAAATTTTGACTAATGATAATGCCTACCTCTAAAGTTATTTTAAGGATTAATATATATAAATTTGTACCTACACATAGGAGCTTTTTCTTTTCTTTTCTTTTTTTCTTTTTTTTTTTTTGAGACACTCTCACTCTGTTGCCCAGGCTAAAGTGCAATGGTGCAATCTCAGCTCACTGCAACCTCCGCCTCCCAGATTCAAGTGATTCTCCTGCCTCAACCTTCTGAGTAGCTAGGATTACAGGTGTGTGTCACCATGCCTGGCTAAATTTTGTATTTTTAGTAGAGATGGGGTTTCCACATGTTGGCCAGGCTGGTCTCGAACTCCTGACCTCAGGTGATCTGCCTGCCGCAGCCTCCCAAAGTGCTGGGATTACAGGCATGAGCCACCATGCCCAGCCTGACAAGAGCTTTATAACAGTTGTTGTTGATGCTATTTTTATTATGCTATGAAAATACACTGACATGTAAGGCAACACTTATTATAGTACCTGACAGACAATAGGTGTTCAGTGTGTGTTTGATGACTGAATGAGGAGTGAATGGATAATTGCTAAGTGTCAAATGATTAATTCAGACAACAAGACCAGTAGGGACTATAAAGAGGGTCCCAGGTGCTCAGAAAAGGTTTCTGGAGGACAGAGGAATGTTTAACGGTCTTGGAAAATGGTTTAGGGTTTAGATGGAGGACACTCCAGGTAGCAGCATGAGATCCCATGATCACAACGTGCATTGGTAAGCACTTTTCTGTTCAGTTTTTCAGAAGCAACCAGGACACTGCCAGGCACATAGTTGGGACGTAATAGGATGCCATACAAATAAAGGAATGAATACATGTGCATAGTTCATATAAGGAAAAAGTGAAAGACGATCCTAAGAATCAGAGTATGGAGGTCTTAGGTTTCAAGGCTAAGCAAAGTAGACTTGATCTTGTCCCTGATGGGAGACATCGAGGGTTCGTGGGCAAAAGAAAAACCCAAGGAAGATATCGAAGAAGATTATTTTTGCAATACTGTGGACGAGATGGATTAGAGGGAAAGAGACGGAGGCACAGAGATCAGTTACAGGGGAAGGGCCTAAATTAGTATCATGGCCGTGGGAAAGAAAAAGAAAAAGAGGACTGAACAGGCTTTGGTGATGGATGAGATGCTTTAGGAGGGGTGGATGGGAGACTGGGGGAAACAGTAACAGAAATAAGAAGGTGGGATGGAGTAGGGGGATGGATTCAAAGTGGTGTGGATAATGAGTTCTACTTGACATATAAAGAGCTGAAAGGAGGAATCAGTCAAGCAAAAGATCCAGTGTGCCCTTAACAATGTAAGACTACAGTCTGAGAGAGTCAGGACAAATATTAATATAAGGGCTTCTCACAACTCCTTCATGGACGAGAGGGTCAGCACCTGTGTCAGTGAATGACACCCCAAAGGAAAGGGGGTTGGAGCCCTGAGTCTTAACCTGGGAGGAGTGGGGAGATATTAAGATATCCTGGAGGTTCTTTTTTCCCAAGTATATTCAACATTAAGATATAAATGTTGAAATAATTTTACATTCAAAAAAGGAAAAAGAAAAAGGAACTATATGGTTTTCCAACATAAATTATAGAAAATAATTCTCAAAAAATCTTAACTGAGGAGGGTATAATTAGCAAGAAAGGAAATAGAGTCTATGCTAGGTATGCATTCTGTATGTTGTTCATGAGGAAGAGGTAAAAATGAAGATGGACCTTCTAGTCGATCTCAGAAACAGGGGGTCAAAATCCATGCCCATGGGCAGCAATCTCCCAGGCCACACTGCCAGCCCTAGGACCGCACCCTGGCTGGGTTTGGAGTTTGGCATTTATTCCAGGCTTGATATTCCAGGGCTGCCAAAAGAAAAGGCACAGGCTAAAACGGGGGCTCATGGAAGCCTAGAGGACCACATCTTTCCAAAAGAGTCTCACTATCGGCTCTGGCCTTGAACAGATCTTCAACTGTGACTCAAAATCCAGCACCATTAAAGTTCACCTAAGGATGAACAGGAGATGGGCTGTGATAACCCTTTGATAGGCAGGAAATTAAGAATTGCCAATGTCAAATTCTTGTGGAACTATAATTCCTTTCAAAAAAAAAATTACAGAAATATAAGAAAGCAACGGAAATGTCTCCTGTTTGATGTCACACCTTGAAAAAGTGCTACTCCAGCTGGATCCTAACAGGATGTCTGATACTTTTGACCCTTCCGCCTCCCTCTTTCTAGTCCTATTAATATAGTCCACCCTTCTTGTGCCTGCCTATCTGTGGCGCACAGGTTCTCAGGGTACATAGAGGAATAAGAGAAGAAAAAGATCACCAGGAGATAAGACATACAAAGTTGAAACTGCCTTAGAATAGACTGCAAATCATATGTAAATTATATGCAAAGTACACGTAAGGCCCTCTAAACTATGTTACACCCTTTGGGAAAATCCCCATGGAGATAGCTATAGCTGCTTTTTCAGCTCGGGAAAATGGAAATGGCTATGAAAGCAAAGTCATTTGTAAGCGGCTGTGGCCATCATGAAGCCTGTCATGAGAATGACTAATACAGAGAATAGAAACCATTTACTGAAACAGGCAAGAGGAAGATGTAATGTTCAGGAACCAGGCCAGAAGTTGAAGGCCTCCATCATTTAAGCTAATATTGTCTCCCCCTTAAATCTATAATATCCCACCCACTTCAGATGGTTTTCAAATCCATCCTTCTTTCCTTCACCCCGGCCTTGTAATTGGCAAAAGTATTTCAGGGAAGGAAGGAAGTCACTCACAGGGGGAGAAAAGAAAAGAAAAAGATTCAGAAAAGAAGAAAAAAAAAGTTATCTCTGCCAAGACTTTTATTTCACTCGCTTTCAGAGTAACTTTTATCTCAGTGAAAAATCCACATATATCATCTCTTTTTTTCATAGTGAAGTAGAGAAATTAAATGTCACTAATTGCTGCAAGTGCCAAGTGCCAACGATGAATTCTTACGAAGCCACAAGGACTTTTTAAAAGAGTAATTACATAAAATCAGAAGGTCATAGAAGCATTCACCTGACGTTTCTGGAAGAACTAGGGAGATGTTGAAGGGGGAAGAGGGTAGGCCCCTGAATTTACAGAAGCCAAAAGTGTCCGTAGGGTGACCAGGAATTTGGAAAAGAGAGAAGGGGGAGAAAATCTCATGTTGTTCAGATTTGCATTTTAAAGAGGGAAGTGGCTTGATAACTCTCCCAAAAATGACCTGGGAAAGGAAGAATTTCATCTTCCAGTTGAAATACACATCTTAGCATTCTGAGCACTAAAGAGAAGAAATTCAGTTAACTTGGTAAAGAGAATTACAACAACAGCTAATATCTGTTGGTTGTTTATCACAGACAAGACATGGCTATGTTATCTCATTAAATACAGCTCTATGTGAAAGACATTGCTATACCATTAATTTTACACGTGAGAAAACCGAGGCTAAGAGCTAAAGTCACACTACCTTAGCGAGGGGTGAAGTGAGGACTCTGCACCAGCAGATGGACTTTACAGCCTGTGATGACACCATGACACCAGTTACCCCCTCTAGTTCAGTGCTAATGGAGAAGAAAGGAGACATAGCTCAGAGAATCCAGAAGCAGAAATAGTGCCTAGACATCAGCTTCATTTATGACCCTGGCCCAGCAGGGCTTAAAGGGCCCTGGGAAACCCTTTTATTTATTTATTTATTTATTTATTTATATACTTTAAGTTCTAGGGTACATGTGCACAACGTGCGGTTTGTTACATATGTATACATGTGTCATGTTGGAGGAACATCACACACCGGGGCCTGTCATGGGGTGGGGGGAGCAGGGAGGGATAGCATTAGGAGATATACCTAATGTAAATGACGAGTTAAGGAGAAGCCCTTTTAAATGGCTGTCTTCTCCCTTTCGTCAATCCTCATCCACAGAATCTACTAAAACCTGAAATTCTTCTTTCCTCAAGTTATCTAGTGGCATAAAGCCACTTCTCTCTTTAAAATGCAAATTTAAACCTGAGACACACTCAGACTCCCCAGTCATGGATACTGTCATGTGTGAGATCATCAGGGCAGCCAGGCTAAAGGTCTCTCATCCAAGACGGGCATGCACAGGAGCTTTTGAATAGAGAAAGTCAAGAGACATACAGGCTGAAGAAGTCTGCCACCATGGGTGGGAGGAGGGCACAGGGGACAGGGTGGGATTGAGAAGAATGCTTACAGGAAAGGAGAAGGGTCTGAAGAAACCTTCTACCTAAGTCCTCCCTTTTTTTTCTTTTTTTTTTTTTTTTGAGACAAGGTCTCAAAAAAGGTCTCTGTTGAGTGCAGTGGTGCAGTCGTGGCTCACTGCAGCCTCAAACTTCTGGGCTCAAGCAATTCTCCCACCTCATCCCCTCCTGAGTAGCTGAGATTACAGGCAAAATCCATAATTTTGTCTCAGACCAGCCCTTCCCTGAGTAATTCCCTGACCTTCACTGTGAACTTAAATCTACTTTTTCTGCCCAGGGTTTGCTAGTTCCTCACAGCAGAGCCTAGGCCTGCTCCACATTTGGATCAACGATGTGTCTGAAGACATTCACGGCATGCTCTCTGGATGTTGTGATGACCTCAACTTGAAAATAACCGATTTGTTAGAATTAGGGTCCAAAAGGATGAGAACAGGCAAAAGTGAAATTTAATGTTAAGGGCTAAATGTAAATTTTGGCATTTAAGTGCCATCCTCTACCCTCAATCCACCAAAATAAAAATGTTCAATAGCCTCGCCTTTTCTCAGCATTGTCTGTACCAGACATAGGGCTTTGGTTCAGTGTATGTTGCCATACATTAGAAGAGGCTTTAGTCAAGTGGGGTATTAATTCCACAGGAGAATACCTAGGATCGTGAGGGACCCAAAACATGTTGACATGCAGAACAGCTCAAGGAACCACTATGTGTAGCCCAAACAAGAGAGAGCTACTTCGTAAAAAACTCATGGAAGAACATGACAGCTGCCGTCAAGCATGTGTCTCGTTATGTCGCGGAGGTTGTAGTGCAGTGGCACGATCTCGGCTCACCGCAACCTCTGCCTCCCGGGTTCAAGCGATTCTCCTGCCTCAGCCTCCCAAGTGCCTGGGACTACAGGTGCACACCACCATGCCCAGCTAATTGTTGTATTTTTAGTAGAGACGGGGTTTCAACATGTGGGTCAATATGGTCTCGGTCTCTTGACCTCATGATCCGCCCACCTTGGCCTCCCAAAGTGCTGGGATTACAGGCGTGAGCCACCGCGCCCAGCCCCCATCGAGCATTTTTAAAGGTGTACATGCATGATGAAAAATATAAAAAGCAAGTACATTTGCCATGAACAGAGGGTAAAATAATAAGGGAAATTTTATTTGCCAGAAAGGCCATAAAAAAGAGTCAGAATGAGGTTGTACGAGAAATCTACCAAAAAGTCCTCCCAACTCTAAGATTCTTTGCCTCTATGAATTCAGATGATCTCCAAAGAGACCAAGCAACATATTGGGCTGAACTGTATCAAACTGCTGATAGGTGACTGGCTTTGGCCCATAAAAATGGTGGTTTAATACAGTTGAAATCCCCTGAGAACACTACCCATAATCAGAATGGCAGGCTTCAACAACAGCCTGCCACCACTACAGCCAAGCTACACAAAGCTTCAAATAATCACCTAACAGCAATTATGAGCTAACACTCAGGATAATCATATAGGATTTACATATAGGATTTTGGCTTTTCTGCAAGCTTTACACAGCACTGAGAATGGATTGAATAGTTGGACTGATGATGATGATGATTTCCAGAGACTCAGAAGAGAGAGATCCTGCTGCTAATTCTCCAAGATAGGGGTTGCCCAGATTCCAGCCTCTGAGTTTTGTCTTTCCTTGATACTACCATGTTCTGTCCTCACCACCAAGCCTTTTGTGGTATGTAATCATACCAGCCAACTCACTGTTTGCCACTAGACCAATATTGTTCTTATGGCATGGTGGCTGAACTGAACAGAAAGGGTTTCTTCCTATCATGCCCATGAGTAACCAACAGCTTCTATATGGCCTAATTATTACAGGGTAGGGGAAAGAATGTCTCCAGCCTATTCCCAAGCTATTCCATCTCTTAGTGGGGAAGGAGTGGTGAGGTTTCCTTATGCATTCATGCCATGGAAGACAGAGAGACAAAGGTAGTTATGCCCATCACTCTAAGGGCTAAAGGAGCAGCAGTAATGACTTTTAGAAAAGAATCGTTCCAAAGGAAAGAACGTCTTTGCTCTCCAGCTGTCATGAACTTCCCTAAAACAGTTCTTCATTCATGAATAACATGAAGCTAGAAGGGACAGCTGATGTGCTAGATAAAAGCACTGCACCCAAATAGATCACGGTGTGCTGGATTTAACAAAGTCAAAGAATGATCCCAAGCTTTAGTCAAATAAACCAATTGCGCAAGTCCAGGAAGGGGAGAGAAATGGGCACAAACATAGTAAAGACTTTCATTGACATTACAATAGTAAAGACTTTCATTGACATTAAGTTCAATTAATACTATAATCTTTTTTATTAAGGCTAAGATGTTTGGTGCTGTCATTAATAGATACCTAATCTAGAAAAAGGGAGTCCAGGCCAGGCACAGTGGCTCACGCCTGTAATCCTAGCACTTTGGGAAGCCGAGGCGGGTGGATCACCTGAGGTCAGGAGTTTCAGACCAGCTTGGCCAACATGGCAAAACCCCATCTCTACTGAA